GGGGGTCGTAATTTATAAACTGAGGCAGGGGGCCAGACTTCCTGAGGACTGACCTCCCACACCCTTCCCACCTCCCTCCTCACTCACACATTTTTGTACATTGGCTCTTAGTTTTTATTCTTTTTATTATATATCTATATCTGTCTCTAGCGTTTACATGCGTGTGTGAGGTGCAGGACACGGCCGGTTAAGGGCCCTTCCGGCCTCCTTCTCTCCCTCTCTGACTTGCCACCAACCTCCAGGAGCTGTCCACCTGCCTGCCTGTCAGTCTGTGGTTTGTTTGTCTCCCTGCGAAAATCCTCAGGGCCTTTATGGGATGTCAGGGAGCTGACAGAGTCCCCTCACCCCTCTGTGCTCTAGGGCCCTTCCATGGAGTCACCTCTGACTGAGGGGCTCTGGGCACATGTCCGCCTCTGTCAGAGTAGGGCCGAGATGAGCTCTTGGAAAGAGCTGGCTTGTTCCTCTCTGCCTGCTGTCCCTGTAAGACTAAGAACAGATAATGCCGAAAGCGGTTAAGTTTTAATCTATAGCTGTGTGGAAGAGGGGAGACTGGGCTAGAGGACCCTCGCTGCTCCCAGCTCTGGTCCTTGCCTCTGACCCCTGACTCTCAGACAGCAGGCCATTTCCTTGGAGACAATCGTGTGGTGGTCCTTTCAGCCCCCTGCCGACCCTGCCGGGCCAGGAGCCACTGCCCTCACCCAGAACCTGTCTCCGGCCGGGATTTGATTTCAACCTTTGTTGGGGCTCCGGGGTGCTGGTTACTCCGGTGGGGTCCAGACCTGCTCAGGATCTTGTTTTCTAGCCCCTTCTGTGGGCAGTAGAGGAAATGTTCTCTGGGCCAGGCTGGAACTGGAACCCCACCTTCCCCATCACACCCTGCTGTGTCTCAACATGGTGCGGTCCAGGAGCTGGTGTTGGTGTTTCCCACATGACAGGAAGGGCCTGTGGTTGGGGGCCTCTGATTTGGCGGGGAGCGGATGCAGGTGTGGGTGGTGAAAGACTTCTGGGCCTGGCACAGAGCATTGAGCCCTCCAGAAGAAGTGATGCCCCAGGTGGGATGGGGCTACCCAGGCTGGAGTGGGCATGGGCCTGGGACCCTCCTGGACTGGAACCCTCTGAGAGTGGACTGCTGGGCCCACTCGCTTTCCTCTGGCCAGGAAGCCCACCCAGCTGCCTGGGTCCATTCTCAGCCTCACCTCCTTCCTGTCCCCCAGCCCTTTCCTCCCTCTGCTCCTGGGCTGCCAGCCCTTTCCTCCCTTCCCAGTACTTCTAGTAACCATTGACCGGTGGCCATGAACTGATCAGACCAGCATAACAAAATAAAAGTTGGTTCCAAGTTGCCAGTGTTGTGGTCCCTGCCCAGCCCCTCTGGTCAGGCAGGTGCTATCCACGGGGAGTGCTGTGGCCCTTACCACCTGAGGGCACACAGCAAGTGGGCCTAGGCCAACAAGAGGCCTTCAGATGGGCAGGTCGGTCTCCCTGAGTGTGTGATGCAGCCAGGTTCCCAGCCTCTGAACTTTCGTTCCTCATCTACAGCGGGCGGTGAGCCCTCAGTGAGGGGATCTGGGAAACCCCTGACAAGATGCCCTGGCTTGTGGGAGGACCTTGGGAAATGGTCACCATGCTTGGGCATCTGGGCATCAGGTGCAGGAGAAGCTTGGCATGGTGGTCAGTGCTGTGTGGCTGGGATTGCACCAGGCGCCTTGTGTCCTGTGATAGTCACAGCTGTTGTCTGCTAAATAGGTCCTGTGGACACTGTGTTTCTGGCTAAGGGACCTGAGTCCAGAGAGCAGGGACTCCAGCAAGTGACAGGACTCATGCCCACCTTTGACCCCCCCCCCCAGCCTTTGTGGCTAGCAGCCTGCCCTTTGTTATTGTCCACTGGCAGGTTCCTCTTGCCTCTGGACTTGTGTACAATGGCGGCTGCTGGCTTAGCCCCCCAGGAACCTTCAGGAAGGAGCCCAGCACCAGGGTACCCAGCTCTTTCTTCCACCTGCCCCTCCCCTGTGGCATCTGCTTCCACAGGCCTGGGTTGTGGCCCTTGGAGCAGATGGAACCTGCCCTTTGAATTGGCCCCTTCAGTAGCTGTGGTGGCCATACCCACTTTACGTTTTGAAGCAGCACCCACCATCCTGGCCTCTGCTCTCGGACACTGGGCAGTCCAATCTCTGCTCACCAGGTGCTCCCCTGCTAGCAGGCAGCCATGTCCAGTGTTCGCTGTCGTCCACAGAATGGTCAAAGGCCCTGCAGGCTCACCCACTGTCCACTGGAACAAGAGACCAGCTGCGTACGTGTGTGTACCATCAAATCTGAGCTGACTGGTACAGGAGATTGTCCCTCCTTCTCCAGCAGAGCTCCTGGTGGATTTGAACCGCGTGCCTTTGGGATTGCAGTGCAGCTTCTTGCTAGTAGGCCACCAGAGCTCCTGGGACCAGCCTTTTTTATGCTGATAGAGAATAAAGTTGCTCTCGCTAATCCAGGCAGCTCTACTGGCAAGCCCTGGTCCTTGTGTGTGTACAGCAAGTGTGTAGAGCTGTTAGCAGGAGCAAGGCCCTCTGATGGGGACATGGGCCTGAGAGGGCCCAGGCTCGGGCTGGCCTGTCTCGTGATGTTGTGAGTTCCCAGTCAGGCCCACTGTCTGGCTCCTTGGCCACTTTGGCACAGAGTGAATGAAGTAACACGTCGTGGAGTTAGAGCAAGTGACATCTGACGAGTTGGAGTGGGCAGGAGGACGATGTGGACTGTGCACTGAGAGTTTGCAGGGGCACATGCCAGGCCCAGGAGGGGCACAAGCAAAGTCCCCGCTCTGACTGGGGGGGTACGGGTCTCCTTTGTCGGGACCTGGTGCTGCTGGAGCAGGGGAAGGAAGCAAACAAGAGCTGGAAGTGGGCCAAAGACCCCAGAGACTGGCTTCCCTGCCTTCAGCCCTGGCCCTGGCCTGTGGGTATGATTCTCAGCTGTGATGAGGACTCCCTGCCTCAGGACAATGGGTGAGAGGTCCTCAACGAGTGGATGTCTGGGAGTGTCCTCCCAGCTGTGTGACACCTCCTTGTCCCATCCCACAAACACCGGGTGGGGCACGTGGAGAAGTTATTTCCCAGGAAGAGGGTAGCTATGTGCTCAGCTCAACCTACTGGGGAAAGCATAAATCTGCTTGCTTAATGGGCTGTCAGGGAGCAGGGACAGCTCACAGAACACCACCTTCCTCGTGCCACCCCCTCAGCCTAGAAACCCACCCTCCTTTCCTCAGGCCCGTCCCAACCCCAATCCGGATCTCTGCCAACAAGTGACAATTATTTAAGAGTTTTAGAAGGCATTGTTTCTTGACTCAGAATTCATTTTCTTGCTTTCCCAAGATCAGTTTTATAACTAACCACCACATTCCATGAAATACCGGGCATCATTTATTTTTTGTTTTGTAGGTTTGGTGTTTTGTTGTTGTTTTTGTTTTGTTTTTTGCATAGGCATAAATTAGAATCTGGAAATACAAAATTAGGAACCAATAATGCAGCATTTGTGACAGGAGAGCGCAACACAAAACCTGGTCGGTTTGCCGGTGGGCTGTGCAGGGCAGGCCACTGAGGGCCACCCCATCCCAGCCTCATTCTCTGGGAGCCCTTGTCCTGACAGGCCGGAGCCATTGCCCCAAGCCTGTCCGGCAACCAGGTGACCAGGAACCGAATGCCACCCAAAGCCCCACAGAAAGGGGCTAGGAATCAAGCCCTTAGCTTTTCTTTCCATTAAAAAGCAGACCTCAAAAAAATATGTACATTACAGAGCAGGGCCTGCTGTGTCTAAGAAGGCCCTTCACCCTCCCCCTACCCAGGGTAGCTGCTGCCTCCCCCTAAAAGCCCCCCATCCCCCCCGTAAATTAGTTAGAAAGGAAATGAAATCCAAGCCAGAGCTGCGAGCGCCTGAGGGGTTTGGGACCCTGACAGCAGGGGCCTGAGGAGGTTTGTGGGGGAAAGGGCCCACCATGACACCCTGAACATCACTGTCACTGCCTCCACCTTCCGGCTGCCTGAGGGGTGGCTGTGTGCCACAGGACAACAGAACTGTCCCTCGGGGTCCCCGAAGCTGTAGTCTGCCACTTCACTCTCCTTCAGAGCGGCTGGTGGGTCGGCACTGCTGGCCTTAGGGTTAGCAAGTGTTTCAACTACTGCACCACCAGGGCTCCTCACCCCAACACTACTGACCCCAAATAGTTGGGTTTCTGAACCCTGGGGGAGACTCTGGCCAGATTGAAGAGCAGGTGGGCTGCTGAGGCAGCAGCAGGAGGGGAGAAACAGCAGAGCCCTCGGCAAAGGGGTCTCCGTCAGGCCAGTTCTGGCCAATCTGCGTCCACAGGGCAGCCATCCCTGAGGTTCCCGGGACCCAGTACGCTCGGGTGGACAAGAAGCCCGGGCCCACCTGCAGCCAGGACATGCTGTGTGGTCCCTCAGGGAACCCTTCCTTCCTTAGGTGGGGGAGTAGCCACACTAGAAGAGCCTCCAAGCATCCCGCTGTCTGGGCCCACAGCGCTGAGCCCTCCCCAGGTGAGTAGCTCCGCTCACCTGCTTGTCAGCCCGGGCCTCTACCTGTAGCTTTGGCACCTGCTTCAGGCAGCAGTGCCTGGATACCAGCCCCACCACCAAGACCCAGCCGGGACCAAGAGGCTCCCCCTGGCCTTCGCTGAATCGTGTTTGCTTGTCACCCTTCCCCGTAATATGGTACATATATACACCCTCACAGGATGGGCGGCTGACACCGGGACAACCAAGGGGGGAAGGAAGCCGTTGGCCCACTGTCCATCCAAGCTGCTCAGAACAGACCCCACGTGCCCTCTTGCACACCCATCAGCCCGTCTTTCTCAATCCTCGAGGTCAGGTGCTATCAAGCGTGTAGGGAGGTGGCGGGGTACTGCTGGCCCACTCAGGCAAGGGGGGCACGGCGTGCAGAGGTGGCAGCCCCAGCCTATGGGTCGCCCTCCTGGTGGCTGGCGTAGGCACAGGCAGGGAAGCCTAGTGGGCGGGCTCCCCGTGCACCCTGAAGCGGTAGATGCAGGTGTACTCGGGGTGGCCCCAGTTGGTCAGGATCCGCAGCTCCACCACCTGGTACTTGGCCATCTTGGGGTCCTGGGTGGAGATGAAAGGTCTCAGAGCCCGAGTGGATCCCCTTGCACCCTCATTGTCAAGAGAAGGTGAAGAGACATCCTTACTGGTAATGTCAACCCTGCCTCAGTGGTTCCCTTTTCTAGAAACTTCCCAGTCATTGCCTGTGTCGCTGCTCCATCACCCTCTCCACCCGCGACGTGGAGACTCCTGTACCTTGAACTTCAGGAGGGCAGGAACCCTGTCTGCTGCCTCTGCACCCTCACCGCCCAGTACCGGCCCTGACCTAGAATGAGGGCTGGTTCACCATCAGCTGAACACGGGAAAACATGGATATGCACCCCTGATGGCAGGGCCAGATGCTGTACCTGGAAATAAAACGTCTGGATGGGCTCCCCTTCCTGATCATACGTGAACTCCCCAAGTAGCTTCCCCTCCTGCTGCAGGTTTTCATCAAACCCCTGCAAAAGAAGAGTGGAGGGTGGGCTGGCTGCCAGGGGGAAAAGCTTAGAGCTCTCTGAGGTGGCTGGGCCACCAGGGGAGAGTGTGAGGGATGTGGGGACAGAAAGGAGGGAGGATTCCCACTTCACGGTGACCCTCTTCCCTCACTCCCAGATACTACACCTGCCCCTTCATGGCTCGGCTGGCCAGGCAGATGCCATGGCACTGAAGTGGGGTTTGGGCCCAGAACCCTGGGAAGGGGGCCCCACCTGAAATCGGGATGTTGGGTGTTCTGTGCCAAATCCCTGCACCCTTTTGTGCCTCCGTTTCCTCCTGGAGTCTGAGAGCTGAAGGCATTTCCCTTCCACTCTGTCTCCTCCCGGATCCACACACTGCTCCAGGCCCCCGGCCACGGTATCCTAAGTGGGGGGACCCACACAGCCAGGTACTCACGTAGACTGCAAAGTCCCTGGGGGCACTGGAGATAGTGCTGTTGGGTGACAAGGATTTGGGCACATGCTCCAAGGTGACGGCAGTGGGGCGGATGAGGGCGGAGAGGCGGACCACGGCGAAACCCTGGGGGCCCTGGAAGGCCCAGCAGTTGCCTGGGTGGACATCCGGCTGGGTGGAGGACAGTCACATCAGGGCACCGCCAGGACGAGAAACCCACCACATCTAACTCTAGATGCGCCCACACAGGAGCTCCAGGCTGGCTGTGGTGCAGCACACGTTCCCACCCAGCTGCGTGGGGGCCAGAGGCCACCTTAGTCCTGGGGAAGCCTACCTGGAGGATCACTCGGGGCGACTGGGAGTGGTACCACAGGGGGATGCCAAAGAGGCTGAGGAGCGCCGTCTTCGTCTCGTAGGTCTCTGAGCAGCGCGTGCTAATCACACTGGCCCCTGAAATGGGAAAGGTAGACTAAGGGGACACTGGGGCCGGCCACCAGTGAGGAAGTGGCCAAGACAGCTGCTCAGCTCACCAGCCAAGGGAGGCCAGGGCAGAGGATGGTAGCAGCGAGGGAAGTGACCCCTGCTCCTCTTCTCCGTCCCTCTAGCCCTGCCCCGGGCCCACAGAGCAGCCGGGCAATACTGAGGACACCCAGGGAAATACTGGGGACACCCAGCGTCCCTGACCTGCTGAGGCCTGGCAGCCAGTTCCAGACAGGCTGGCTTCCTCCGACCTCCAGCCTCGCATGCCTAGCACCTCTGTGGTCCCGGCTCACATCAGGGCTAAGAGGTCTTGGGACTGAGATAATGATGCAGAGAAAACGCAGCTCACCTCCAGACTCCAGGGCGTAGTCCACCATCCCGATGCGGTCCTCGCTGTATCGCTTCAGGGCCTGGTTTACAATGTGGCGCACCTGCTACATTAGCACCAAAAGAGGATGCTCAGCCTCACGGGCCGGGAGAGAGATGCGTCCATCCTCCACCGCCCCACCCCTGGGCATCCACGTTCCAACCCTCATGGGCTTCCACCACTTGAGTACCTGCCTATCCCGGTGTACTTCCACCCTCACCCCCTACCTGCCAGTTCCCATGCAGACAAGTGACTCCTGTCCTTGAACATACCACGGAGCTGGGAGCATGCATGTGTCCCTGTGAGAGTGTGTGTGTGTGTG